AGAGCCCCTCTCCAGCATCCTTGCAGGCATCCCTTCCGATACTGAAACGCTGCTATGAGGTCTCCATGCAGCTTCTCTTCTCCAAGCTGAACAGCTCCAACTTTCTCAGCCTGTCTTCGTATGGGAGGTGCTCCAAATAAAATCAAAAGCGAAATAAAAGCAGCACAGACAGAGGTCTTGCCTGGCAACCCGCAGCTAGCTCACCTCCACTAGTATAGACCTCCAGTTGTCGGTTGATGTTGGATTTGTCTACCAGAGAGTGCAGCACATTAAGGACACTGTGGACGTTCCAGATCTTGGGGTTGGAACGAAGAAAATCAATTTCCTCTTCAGACTTCTTGGCTGTCTTGCAGCGGTACTGGCTGAAAGACTGGAACTACAGGAAAAAGCAGAGATTCAATGATGAAAAGCTATTTTGGAGATGTTCCGATAAGTGCACTAAGCTTACAAGTTGATCGCACAAATGCACTACAATAAGCTGCAGAAGTTTCATCTGAGATCACCTGGCAACCAAAATGGGAAATAATACTAACTTTGAAGCACTTAGGGAAAAAATTATACAGTGTATAGGGAAAAGGCCAGAAGACAGAATGAACCCGAGAAGGATTTGCTGTCTGAACAGGTAGCAAAGAGAAAAAACAAGTCGTAAGATGTATCTGCACACACACACACATCTGCTTCTATATATGCACACATTGTTTTTCATCCTCAAGCTTGGCAAGGCTGCAACGGTTAAGGAATTCCAGGCAGCTCTACAGTAAAAAGTTACAGAGAAAGGAATCTATAGAGGAGAACCAACAGCATTTGAGATCTGTATTGCTGCACTCAGAACAGTAGGTGGAAAATTATTTTCTGACATCAAGATCTTGGACCACAGATTATTTCAAATCAGGTCAGCAGTCTTTCAGTGGAAGCATAAAGGCCCTACTGACTAGGAAACGCAAAACTAAAGTAAAACCAAAGAACACATGAGTTTGAACAAGTATCTTCAGAAGGTTTTTGTGATTATAGCAGCCTTCAGTCAGGCTGCTTTGCACAAATCAGGAAGAAATGAAGGTTAGTTTAAGAAAAATCCACTAAGCAGCAACTGAAACAGAAATATCAACAGAAGTCCAGGACTTCCCTAAAACCTCCCTGTAACTTAAAAATCTGTACGTTTACAACTATTTTATCTACCTGGTGACCCAGGAATAACAATGCTCATCAAAGTTTTTTGACCTGCAATGGTACCCAAGCTATGAAAATCACAGAGGGACAAGATGAAAAATAGCGCCTCACAGAGGCAATGCCACCACAAAATGGCCCAGTCTCATAGTCATATACCTGGTATATGAATTCATCGATGATATCCCAGAGCCACTGGTTAGGCAGTTCCAGAGGAGCAGGGCCATCAGCATCTGCAGAAGAATGCAGAAGAATTAAGCCTTAAGAGAGGCTTAATCTCTTGAGCAAGAACAGTGGTAGAACTGAAGGAACAGATAACTGAAAGAACACAATTGCCCTGAAATGGAAGATGCAGCATCAGATGAATGAAACTTCCAGAAGGGCAGTGATATGCAGCTTTGGCTACCTCAACTCCTTCCCTTTTAAAGAATAAGAGCATGTATGGGGTTAACCTCTAGAGTGTGATGGCTGAGTAGCAGTGATATTCAGAAACTGCACACAGGCTGTAGGGTTTTACCTCAACTGATGTTTCTCCACAAGAAGTCTGGAAGGGAGTCACAAACACTAAGATTTGTTCCAAGGGGAGTCAACAACAGTAACCAATTGTGAAACACTGCAAGTTTTCTCTAGCTTACAGCTTCATTTTGCTTTTTAATAAAAAGACAGGTGAAATAGCTCTCAGCAAGGCATAAAGCTAAACAAGTTTTACTTTTTACAGTATTTCAGAAAGCACTGGAAAATATTTATGCTTTTTGTGGGTTTAAATGCATGGATGTAAAGTGCTCTTCAGTGAACAAAAACTCAAACACATGGAAAGCTTGTAGACTACTTCTCCCTCTCGGGTCTTTAAACATTGCAGTTCTACCCCTCGCCAGCTGTACCTGCTTCAAAACAGAAAGGAACTGCAGCAACTCACTGAGGATGTAGTTGAAGAGATTGCAATAGTTGTAATAGGATTCAAATCTCTGCTCCAGTGTAGGTCCCCCCTGCAATGAGAAGTCAGCACAGTCTGCTTAGTTTCAAGCAAGGCAGGAGGAAGTTTATGGGCAACAGAATATGAAGGACAGTCAATAGTCAGGGCAGTATAGGGTCTATTTCAGAAATGTTAGAGACAATATTCAACTAGGACACCCACCAGCACCACCCAGAAGACCTGACATTGTATCACTATTGTCCCACAGAATAGGGCTGGTTTTTCATGTACAGGGCAACCAAGCAATCAAACCTCCTGTGAATAGGATGCCTTAACCCTCCTTGTCCTCCTCTCTGCTGTCCAGACTGAAGAGCTTCCCACTACCTTCAACAGCTTTCCTCCCTTCTCCCCTCCTGAGAAGCCTTTCTGAACCAACAATACTACTTGTAGACAGTATTTCTAAATGTTCTGAAAGACCAGCAAACACAATAGGGAATCACTCTCTTCTTAGAATGATCTTTCTTATTTCACCTGGAGGCAACTCAAAGGCAGCCTGAGAAACCAGTCTCTCCTGTTAAAGCCCGACCTGCGTTAATACAGCAACCTTTTTAAAGGGCTCATTTCTCCCCCCTCTGGTCCACACCAAAACTGCAGCTATTTACTCGAAAGTGATGCCCCTCTTCAGCTTCCTTCTTTAAAGGACCAAAACCAACTGTGATTTTCCCACTGACTTCGAATTAGCTTAAGAAGAAAAAAAAAAGTTGGGGTTGTTTTGTTTTATAGAGCATTATTCTTTCCATTTCCTTCTCCTGTATCCCTTATGGTGCCTGTGTCCCTCTCCACAAAGCACTCTGACCCCATATGGGTTTTTTAATCACAAATAATGCACCTTCTTCTTGTAACACTCTCTCACCCACCTGCTAATTTGGAGAACAAAAAGCCACAAAGAAACACACAAAACCAACTGATCTATAGGTCTTGGCAATTACAGCTCTATCAGAAAGAAAATTTAATTACCCCCAACGCCTCCTTCTTCCCTAACTCACTAAGCACTACAGTAACAAACTTCTATGCAATAGCCTCCTGAAAACTCAGATCAGGTCTTCTGATTCATACAGGCTGCCAGGGAAACCTGCACAGTCACCATAAACAAGCTTGAGGAGACAGCTAATGAACCTCAGAAAGACAGTCAAGCCTTTCTTGCTTTTCAGCAACTAGTTACTACAAAAAAAAAAAGGCAAGAATTTTAAGCTTTCTTAACTGCAACCTGACTTAGATCTCATAAATCCCTTCAATCCTGCATTGCAAAGACCACAGAACCACTGATGCTACAGTGGCAGCAAGAACTGGCAAGTTCAGTGGCACAGAAAACACAGCATGCAACCAACAGGGAGACACAGGACAAACACTCACGCTGACTTTGGCATAGATGTGCCTATAATACAGCTCCTTGTATAGGATGAGGAAAACAGCATCTGGAAAAAAGATGACAGAACAAGACATTAGCAAGCCACAAGGCCCAGGCAACTGGATCTCTTGGATACACCAGTGGTGCTCCTCCTGCCACAGTAATAAAGGAAGTTTGACTTCTTGCCAGGCACCTGCTGGAGGAGTTGCCAGAGTGAACAAAGATGAGCAACTCGGGCAGCAGCAACACTAGACACCTGCTCACTAATTTAACAAGCTATTTAGTTCCTTCTTTATCTGACAAGAAAAAGAGAACCAAAGACTTACCATTTCCGACCTGAGGGGCAATGGCCTCAGCCTCTGGCCATGGGGTATTCTTAAAAAACCTTTCCGTCAGCTTTGTCCAGCTGAAAGATAAGACACACTTATGGCATTATAAACCCTTTCTCAGTATAATAGTGCTGGAATTAGAGATCACCATACAGAGGACTTCGACAAGAAAGTGGAGCTCCACCTCCTTCTAGTAAGTACAGTGTTGAGTCAAAGAATGAGAATCACAAACTAAGCAATTAAAGTCTTCAATTTATCCCTGAAGTATGGAACGGTTGTGTGTGTTACCTTCATACTCCCTTTACGTTAAGGTGACACAGCTACAAGCAGGAGGGAGTATATGCAGGGAACAGACACCACCTCATGGCTTTTTGCAAACTGCCTAACTAGCACTACTGGGGTCACTTTTGCTGCCTCCACATGCACTAGGCACAGGACTGGGATTTTCCTTCAGACAAGTCACAACTCACTTATGTTAGCTTAATGGTGTGGAAATATTGAGAGTTTGGGTTTTTTTCTTCCAGTAATCAAATCAAACCTCACACTTATTTTAGAGAAAGCCCAAACACCACAGGCAGTAGTCAGCCTTCCGTTTTTAAAAGCAGTGTGCATTTTCACCACAGTTTAAAACAGTGATTCCTCCTTTGTACCTGTTCTCATAGATGTCCTGGATCTCGTATACCTTCTGGTCAATAACATCACTGGACACACGGCTGGCCTGGAGCTCGTACACCTTCTGGTCGATGAGATCCGACACTGTCTTGTGAAAGTATTGAATGAAGTTCTTGATCACTTCGGGGATCACCTGGTAGGTCTGCTGCTCGTACTGGCGCTCGTAGGCCAGGTCCTGCTTCGGGTCTCCTGAGAGAAAGGAGAGACGCAGTGAGGCAGGCGGCCGAGGCCTACAGGCCCAGCAGGCTCGGGGCACGCATGGGCCACCGCACTCACCCGTGTGCATATCATAGTCGTTGGAGTAGGCGTAGGGATCGTAGGCGGCCTGTGGAGAGACGGCAGCAGCTAATCACCACGCCAGCACGGACACAGTCACCCCGGTCCCCTCCCGCCGCCCCGAGACCCCCGACTCGCACATCGTTGTCGTAGTCCTCCCCCGGGTAGGCCATGGCGGCGGCGCGGCGCGGCACCGAAAGGCCTCCGGGCAGCAACACGGGACCAACGAGGAGCAGCGGCCCGGTCCGGCCCGTGAGGGGATGGAGGGGGGCGGTGGGGCCGCAGCCGAGCCCGATGCGGGGCTGGAGCAGGAGCCGGAGCAGGCGTCGGAGCCGGCGCCGGGGGCCGGGTTGACGCTGGGGCCAGCGGCGGGCGCTCCCCTCGGTTACCTGCACGTCCTGTGGCAGCGGGAGGAGCCCACGGGCAAGATCTCGGCCCGCCGCCTGCGCAGGGCCGCCCGTCTCCACCGCTGGCTGGGGCCTACGGGCAAGGAGACCCACGGTGAGTAAGGGGACACGGCAGCACCCTTTCCGGGGACGGCGCTTCCTTCGGCCGCCCAGGCCTCAGCGGGGTGGAGAGCCTCCGGTTTGGGGAGCCGGTAGAGCTTCGGCTTCCCCGTGTGAGGGGCCTCCAGAAGGAGGTCGGATCTGCTCGGCGGGCGGCTTGGGAAGGCTCCCTTGCGCTTGCCAGGGGAGAGCACCGGTCAGGAGAAGGCAAGGAGAGCGCTTCTTACCTGGCATCTTGGATCTTCTACTTCCCCTTCTGTGAGCCGAGACAGTACCAGTGTGGTTTGGACCCTGCACCAAAGCTGAAGTGGGTTGTTTCAGTAGGAAAGTGCGCAGTTTTCCTCCGCGCTTTCCAGTAATTTCTTTCTTTCTTTTCTCTCTAGCTCTGAAAAGGTTGCGTGAAGCTGCCAATAGCAATGACTTGGACACAGGTAAGAATTCTGCCCGTCCTACTTGGGACCCTTTTCTTGAAGGGAGTTCTGTCAACGAACTTCATTTTAGGAAAGGATGAGATTGTGGATAGTTTGTGGACGTGGTGCTTGGGATGTTGCAAATCTAGCAACTGCTTTTCTGGAGCCTTGTTTTGCTCTCTGAGCAGAATGAGGCTGGTTATAGTAGTCATTTTTTTCACAGGTTCATAGCGTAGGCAGTTTTCAACTGCCTCAAGCTAAATCAGCACTACACCGTTCCAGCTTTTTTTGCTGTGTAACTTTTACTTGTAAGCAGCAAGAGAGTAGTGTTTTGGTAAGGTGGAAAAGTTGGGATTATCTAAGCCATGCTCTGTGTGATGAAACAGTGGGACCCAGTAGATCAGAACCAGGACCAGTGCTGGATTCTGCCTCTCACAGTGACTTCAGGGAAGGGTTGTGGCATGTCTGAGAGTCCCTTTACCTCTCTGTACTGTAGATTAGGTGGGGTTTGATATGAAGTGTCTAGCAGCAATATTGGTGTATATTATGGGCCCTTTATTGTCCCTCCTCAGACTATACTGTCCTTTGAGTTGTGCTGACGTAACTGTTCATCAGACCATTCTGTGAGCAAAACAGGAAGCCAGTCTGACATTTAGAAACTCCCAATATATCAGAACAAGAGTTTGTTTGGTGTGGTTCACCCTTTGGCTCCACGATACACTTTGTTTTGTGAACTGATGGATAAATTTCACCTGTGAGCTGTCAGTACAGAAAAGCTTAGCTGCAGTCACTAAGTCAAGTGGAAGAATTAAAGGATCAGGCTTTGTACAAGTCTTGGTTTCAATCGATTTTAGAGTTTTGCAGCTGTATTTGATACACAGGTTCCCCTGTTTACAATCCTACTGCATTTTCTGTACTCTGCAACTTGAGGAAGTGTCTGATGACGAATTTATGCTTCATCAACAAATAAAAATCCATGCTGTTTCCTGTAGAGGCACTGGGTAGGAAAGATTATGTCATTTGCTGCTGGCTTCAGGGAAGGACTAGGTAAAGCATCCCCCATTAAAGGTTCTCACTGGTCTTTCTTCTGGAATATCAAAAATCCATATTTTCAGGTGTTCCTTTCCCTTCTCTACCACACCTAAAGCAGTAGGTGTACAGAAGAAATTCAAATGTAACTATAATTTGATCTCTGGAAGCTGAGGTGAGTGTTGACTTGCAGTGGTCTGAGCTATCCAGTTTCTTGTCTCCAGTACCGGTTGGTCTTGAGTGTTGCAGGATATGCTGTTAAAGATCTCAAAACAGTAAATCTGTCAGTGTTGTTAAAAGCTACAAAGTGAGCTTTATTTTACACACTGATGTATGAGGAGTACTCCAAAGAACTAGAGTACTAGGCCTTACAGTTGCCCTTTCACACACTGCTATAGATGCTACTTTTGTGTCCGTGATCTTTTCAGCCTTTACTGTTCTCTTTGCTTTTGCTATATTTGTACATATGCTGAAGAGTCATTTGTACAATGCTGGAGAGTCGTACGAGTTTCTCTGTCTTTCTGTGTGAATAGGTTTTTCCTTCTTACCTGAGAACAGAAGGTAGTTCTGGTTACAAGGATTGCCAGTGCTGGCATTGAAGAAGTAGCTGGGTGCAAAAGCAGGGGGAACAAGTGTGAGTAGATGATATGGCTCCTTGAGTTCACTGTCTCACTTCAAGACATGGCCTCCTAAGAGTATTATTTGCACTGCCGCTGGCAGGTTGATGCACTCACCTGTCTGCTTCCCCATCAGTAGCCACACAGTAGTATGGCAAAACCGAGGAGTTTGGGATTAATCTAGCAAGGGGCATATCCAAAACATGTGAAGAGGTGTTTTTTTCTCACTGCATGTGGCTACACCGTGAAAGTTCTCGCCATGGGTCCATGTTGATGTGAAAAGTTTACACAGATGCAGAAAATGACCATGGAAGTTTATGGAGAAAGCTCCTGCAGGGATAGTAAGCACAGGATGCTAAGTCTAGCCTAGCAAGTGCCTAATGATACCACAGAGATAAGCATTGCATGCAGAGAGGTGAGGTGAACACTGCCTTGCTGTTTCTTTCCTCCACATCCTTCCTCTCTCCTGTGCATCACAGTATGCATCCCAAGCTTAAAGGACTTAGGAGGGACTCTTTGCATGTCACAGAATCGTAGAACGGTTAGAGTTGGAAAGGACCTTAAGTTCCACCCCCCCTGCCATAGGCAGGGGTGCCTTACACTAGACCATGTCACCCAAGGCTCTATCCAACCTGGCCTTGAGCACTACCAGAGATGGAGCATTTACCAGTTCTTTGGGCAACCTGTTCCAGTGCCTCACCACCCTCACAATAGAGAACTTCTTCCTTATATCTAACCTGAACTTCCTCTGTTTTAGTTTAAACCATTACCCCTTGGCCTATTGCTACAGTCCCTGATGAAGAGTCCCTCTCCATCATTTCAGTAGCTTCACTCCTCACAAAGGTTTAAGGGTCAACCAACTACAGGCTGAGAGAGTTAGCTTCACATCCTTGCTATGCTTGTATACTTTTCTGTAGGCTTTTGCTGCTGATTATCCTTGAAGCTTGAAAATTTGGCTGGGTGGCAGGGGGTTGGAACTAAATGATCTTTAAGGTCCCTTCCAACCCAAACCGTTCTGTGATTCTATGGACCCTTAGTCATTACAGCTAAGTACTTCCAGAGGGTGGAGGGTACGCTGCCAGGGCTGGTTCTGCTGAGCCAAGGTGCTGGCTGGAGCTGGTTCAAGTCCAGTTGACTTGGCAGCTGGTAGAGTGCATTATTTGCCCACAGAAGAGCAGATGGCATTCTCCCTTTCTGATCTGGTGCACCTTCAGCTTAACTGCTTTCTTCTCTTTGGCACTGTCAGTGCAGCAACTCTTGGAGGATGGAGCTGACCCCTGTGCTGCGGATGACAAAGGCCGGACAGCCCTGCACTTTGCCTCCTGCAATGGCAACGATCATATTGGTGAGTGAGGAGGAGGGGGAGTTCTGTGTTCCAGCCTCTCTGTGGCAGAGATTTTGAAGGATGCTCTTTATTTTGATCCAGCACATGACAGAGCCTATTGTTTTCCATGAGTTTTGTGGCAAAGTTGCCAGCTGAACTCTGGCTTCAGGGCTTGCCATGTCCCCCTGCTGAAGGGGGAGCCAGAGCTCACAGCTTTAGGATTGTACTGGTGCAGAAGGAAAGATGTCATTAGTGCCAGTTCTTCCCCTAAAGAGTTCCAGGGGTAGCGGTACTGCCTGACTTTGTACTGGGTCCTTCTGCATTGCTGCACAAACCTCTGTCCCCTATCTCTGGGATGAAGCTGAGGAGCTGAGCAGAAGCACCCGTAAGGCAGCCTGGTGGCTGCTCTGTGTGCCTGCAGCCCGTGTGGATCTGACCTGCGGGGCAAAGGGAAGGGACTGATGTGGCTCTCTTTGCTTGTTTCCAGTGCAACTGCTTCTGGACCATGGGGCTGACCCAAACCAGAGAGATGGCCTGGGAAATACCCCCTTACACTTGGGTAAGTGCCACATAGATGAGCTTTGCATGCAGAGAGGTGAAGTGAACACCACCTTGCTGTTTCTTTCCTCTTCACGTTCCTCTTTCCTGTGCATCACAGTATGCACCCCAGCCTTAAGGACCTAGGAGGGACTCTTTGCATTTCATTAGCTTCACTCCTCATGAAGGTTTCATAGAATCGTAGAAGGTTTAAGGGTCAGAATTTGAGAAGATCATTTTCACTCCCTCTGCCAGCCCCAAGAGTGTGAGATCTGTTCCAGAGAGGGTACTCAGGCTTGAGTGTGAGGTTACCCGTAGCAGTTGGGCTATTTGTCTTTCCCATGGCAAAGAGCCATTTGGGAAGCAGCAAGCTCCACACTTGAGCAGAAACTCCTTTGTTGTTTGCTAGTACCTCTGAGTTGTGTGTCCTGTGTTTTCCCTCCCCAGCTGCCTGCACGAACCACGTTCCTGTCATCACCACACTGCTGCGCGGAGGTAACATTTCCTCTATCACAATTACAGCCTGTCCCTTTCCTGCCCCACCTCTGTTGATGACTCCCCATGGACTCTGAGTCTTTCTGACACTTTCTGTCTTTGCTGATGCATCTTGCAGGGGCCAGAGTTGATGCCTTGGATCGAGCTGGCAGAACACCGCTGCACCTTGCTAAATCAAAGCTAAATATCCTGCAGGAAGGAATCTCCCACAGTCTGGAGGCTGTACGCCTTGAAGTTAAACAGGTAAAAGAAACAGTTCCATGCTGTGGTAAGGTGGTGCAGTCTCCTTCACTCTTTGTTTAAATACTTGCCTTTAGGCTCTTAGCTGCTCTGGGGAGAATTTAACTTTTTCCATCTGTTTTCAGGGTTCTTCCTTTTTCTTAACCACTACTCTGAATTTTTGCAGGACCTCTCTTGGCTCTGGTAGGCCAAGGATGTATTGAATGTCTTAATTCTCAGGCTGTATGGAACACTTTCTTTCCTTCAGCTACCATGTAAGACAGATGTCTTGTGGCAGGAGAGTGATCACAGCAGGGGGCTGCAGATAGGGCGCACACATTCAGGGACTTTGCTTTCCTAGCACAGTCTGTCCTGCTCCGATATGTGGAGTCATGGAACATTAAAGCAGTCACAGGTCTGCATCACAGATGCATGAGGTGTGGGTCTCACTTCAAAAGTCATATAGGAGCCACAAGGACTTTCATCCTTAGCGCACAAGCAGATCCAGATGGGGTGGGAAGTCCTTGCTTCTCACAGTGAGAGAAGCTAGCTAGCCATAAGGAAAAGCCTGGTGCTTTTCAGGGCAAGACTTTATGCTTCTTCAGTTGGGCCTGTTTTCCCTGTTCTTAAACCAGGCACAGTGCTCACGACTAGTCCCATCTGTGGCTGATCAACACGTCTGGTGACTCACTGACTCACAGCTCTGATGCTGTCATTAGTGCTCCTCAGTTGCTTTGCATTTGTTCTTCTGTATGGGTTACATACTCTGCCACATACTGCAGCGTCAAGGCAATTTAACTGCAATTTATTTTTTTCCTGTAAAACCATCCCAGCCTGCTGCAGCTGTCTGATGTTTGCCTCTTTTGCCTGTTGGTTTCAGATTATCCAGATGTTGCGGGAATACCTGGACCGCCTGGGGAGGCATGAGCAAAAGGAACAGCTGGATGACCTCTGCTCCAGGTTACAGATGACTAGTACAAAGGAGCAGGTAGGCAGCTTTGAACTACTGAGATTTGCTTGGGTTGTGACTTCAGTGTTTAGGACAATGCAGCTACATGAGCAAGGTAACACGGAAGACATGTTTATGGAAATGTTCTTGCTCACATTGGACGCATTATGTGATGACTTGTGTACTCCTTTTGGTTGGAATTCAAAATGCAGAAAGCATCGCTGTGCCTCGCAGCTTAGCAGAGAAACTGAAGGTCAGATCAGCGTTTTAAGGCCAGGATCAGCACAGCCACACAGGGTTGCAGGGCCTGTTTGGTTTTTTCCTACAAAAGATTGTCCCTTAGAAACAGGCTTAGAGGAAACAGCCTTGATACCCTTGTTGAGTTCTGGGTAATGCAGCAACATGCTTCTATGTTAAGGACTAGTTAAATTGCATGAGGAGGTCAAGCATTGACCTCCTGAGGAATGGGGAAGAGCTCCCATTGCCTTAGGTTAGGACTTGTTTGATCATGAGGATGGGAGCCCTTCTGCAGATCGTGGGACCAAAGGAATCCTGTCCTAGTATAAGCTCAGCACGGGTATTACTGGCAGTCCTGGTGGAAGAGTGGTCCCTGCTGCACAGGAGTTTCTTCTGTGGTGGTGGTTCAGCTGCACAACTGCATTTCCGTGCCTAACAGCCACCTGTATTCTTATGGCAGGTGGATGAGGTTACAGACCTCCTGGCCAGCTTCACATCACTCAGCCTGCAGATGCAGAAGATGGAGAAGAGGTAATGGGCTTTTAAATCACATCCTGATGCAGCAGGAGAAGCCTTAGAGAGAAATGGAAGCTGGAGCTTACTTCCCAGAATGCTGAAGAAACACTGCTGCCAGTAGCCACTCCTGCCAGATCTAGTGTCCAGTGGTGCTCAGACTGTTCCTGTTAGTGCTGCCACAGCTGCCTCATGGGGAGGCAGCAGGCTTTGGACGACAGAGACCACAGAAAGCAGAGTGCTGCATCTGAGACTTTTGGGAAAAAAAGAGCTGCTCTTTTTATCAGATGGCCTGGCACTGAATAGGAAACCCCTTCCAGAGATATTTTGCCTTACCCTAAGCACTTCAGCTTAATGTAGGTGGTGGCTGATGCCATGTGCAGTCACCAGCCCTGACTAGTGCTCTCGGCAGCTGGCCAGCATCGTAGAAATGCTTGGAACAGGCACCATCTCTGCAGTACATGGGAGAAAGTAGATGCCTTGGACAACAGAAGGCTTAGTGCCGGGAGAAGAACACACACTGAATTCTGCATGCTAGCAGCTGAGCAAACATACTGCCTTGAGAAACATGCACTGAGGCTTAATCCTAACCTTTCCCAGAGCCTGCGGTCAGAGGGCAGAGAATCTGCTTGGTCGCAAATGGGATCTAAAGCTTTTCATTGCTAGACTAACAGCTTTCACTGTTAGTTTTAAATCACTGGCCCCAGTTCTTAAATCACTATTCGGAGTTAGTGCGTAAGTACTACAGTGAAACACTTGCAAAGAATACCCAGGTAAGCAACTAGCAGGTCAGAGCTGCCCTGATGCAAAAATGAGGTTTGGGGGTGGCTTAATCCTAGCACAGATTTAGGCAAACATCTGCATCTTGCAAAAAAACAATCCGCCATAACTGACTTTTGTGTTTCCTGTCACTGGCAGTCTCAGACAAGAGGTCCAGTTGTGACAGGAGCTGTTTTGTATTCAGCTGTATTATTGGGCTGGGATGGAAGTGAATTTACAGCTACCTCAGCAGCACCAAACCTACAGCTGACCCACACTGTGTGCTTTTTATCACGGAGATTTGCTGCTCCGGGAGCTTAAGTACAGTGTGAGAAACGAGCTCTGACCTCTGCTGGGAGTCTGAAGTGATGCAGCGATGAAGGATGCAGGGAATTGCTCTTGCTGCTCTCTAGCTTCTGCCCCACTGTGGTTAGTATTGAAGATTTAAATACCTTTGGTTTGGAGCAGGAATCCATGAAATCTTGCTGGTAGGGTGCCAACAGCAGGAGTGACAAGAACATGCTCGATAGCAATTCCGAGTTCCCATCTGTGTACCACACCTAAATGACGCGGTGTGCTGGTAGCAATACCCATCCAACAGCTTGGGAATCACTGATTTGGAAGTGTTCATTCTTTAGGATACAGCTTAACCATGCAACAGCCACAGTTTGGAGCATTCTTCAGAGACTTTCAGGTCAGCATGTTCTCTAATACCTCTTGTCCACGAAGAGGCTAAGTGAACTTCATGCTCAAAGCTGAGATACCAGCAATATGCATGGCTTTTAGATAAGTTCATCCATGAAGTGCTTGGAGGCCAAGGCTGGGATTAATAGTCTTGTGGTTTGGCTGAAGCTATCACTGTGAATGCTGATACTTCATTACAATACTCTGGATGAGAAGAATGCCGAGGGGGTGGGAGACAATCTGAGCTTTTTGTATTTTAGACCAATAAAACCCCATCAGCCTTTTCAGAGTCCTCAGCCAAACGCTCTTCTTTTTCAAAGCAGCTCTTTCCTCTTTCTTTTAAGTGTGTTCCAGACCCCATACACAGCACAGCACACGGGAACTGCTACTCTCATACCTGGTATGGAAATCAGAAGCGTCAACACAAAGTTGTTTGAATTCAAACACCAGTCTGTTTGTAGATCACAGTACACAGTTGCTGACTCACCTTTTGATCTGGACTCCCACAGCACAGAAATCCAAACTTTTAACTCTAGTTAGCTGTTGTGATACATACATACATACAAATAGAGGAAAGAGAATCTCGGTAGGATTACTTCAAGCTGGAAGATGGCAGTATTTTGCAAAAAGGAAAAGCAGCCTGGCCCAGTCTGCCCTCCTGCAAAAGTGTGGAGCTGGTGGAGAGAAGGTGGCTGAACTCATGCTTTGCCCTGTGCCAAGTAAAATGGCTGTGCTGTGAAGAGACAGCAAGGGAGTGGGGGCTGTGGAGGGCTATCTGGGCTGGCAGAGAACTTCCAGGATGGGCCCTGTGTGAGAAGCAGTTGACCTTCATGTGCAGTCTTTACCTGTATTGTTTCTTCCTGTCTCACAGCCTAGTCTTGGTGTCCACATACCCCCAGCTGTCAACGCTTCTGCACTCAACAGCCTTGTTGCTGAGGAGACCATTAGGGTGCCAAAAGAGCAGGCAGATAAAATGCTCTTTACTGCTGCAGTTACCTTAGTTGCTGATGTTGTCTGTTAACGAGGCAGAGCATGGAAGCTTTCCTCAGATCCAGGAATACACTTCACTGGGACTCAGAACAAAGCTTTCAGCCTCAGCACACTTGATATTACCGTCCATGGCTTTTCAGGCCTTTGTCTTGCCTGGTGCTGAAGTTTTTCATAGCTGCTCCTGATGCTCAGAGGGGAAAGGTGGGGGCTCTGCAGCCAGCCAGGAGCAATTGCTTAGCTTCTTTTGGAGCACTGCTCCGTCCATGGGCAACTGGCACAATGAGCTGAGGCAAATAAAACAAGTAGGCTTATAGGAAGTTTTGCCACTGCTTTAGTGGTAACACCAGGCAAGAAAGAGAAAAGGGTATCTGGTTTTCAGTGGGGGGAAAATGCATCATGTAGGAATCATTCTATGGATTTCCACAGTCAGTTCTGCTTTCCTGCCTCAGGGATGAAGCACTGGGCTGCTGGGAACCATGTCATGTGTTTGGGACTGGTCTGGGAAAAACTTTAGGCTTCTTTGTGTCAGCTGGTCATGTGAAAGTCGACTACTCCGCCATGCTCAGCAGGGTAGAGCAGCTCCTAGAAAAGGAGGTAGGTGCTGGGGAGGGAAAGAAGGAAAAAGATTCAGGGGAGGAGGAGTACGTGTTTTCTTCATGCTGTGCTGAGAGCTGTCCACTGGCACCATCCTTTTTTCTGCTGCTCCTAGCCAAGTGCCTTCAGCCTCTCCCAGCAGCTCTCCTGCCTGGCCTAGCAACCTGGACCACAGATTTCCCTACACAACTCATAGCTGTGAGGTTGATGACAGCTTTCTGCATCTCCCAGAGGCATCTGCTGCAGTAATGGGGAATGGAAACTACAGCACATGTTTCCTTCTGCTCTTTATTTTGCTGTTGAACTTAGTCCAACCTTCTCATTTTCCTTGTGCTACACCATAAAACACACCTTCTGGGTCCATTCGCGAGCAGTAGTGCATACCCCTCCTCAGGGCCATGATGTCAACCAGGACTTAACCCAAGGCCTTGCTTTCCCCTCACCACTACCCAACCTCCAAATACACTCCATTTCCCCCCTCTCTCACAGCACAGTTCTGCAGTGACATGCTTAATCCCCAGCCACTGAACCCAGCAACAGCCTCCCCAGCTCTTCTGTACTGTAAGATGCAACCAAAAGCAGCCAGGTTGAGGATCTGCCTCGTGCAAGGAGGCGAAGGCTGAAAACCTACTTGTGTCTCACGAGGGACCTACAGCAATAGCCCCATAGAAAGCCTCCCAGCAAAGCTGCATGGATGTTACTAAGCAAAAGACCTTTTGCTGAAGTGGCCACTCACCCCCACAAGCAAACACAAAGCACACATTGCGGTATGTGCAAACATCAAGAACCTGTTCAACTCTTCAGCAGCTGAAATAATTAAACTCCAGGGTATCAAACCAACATCTCAACCCTGTTACTTCCTCCACCTTTGCCTTTCTTAGCAGACTCCAAATCGATCTTTGCAATTGTTGGTGCTGCTAAAGAAGATCCATGAAGCATCCCTGGGAAACCTCCAACCCTTTCATCTGCTTTCTCCACTCATTCCGTTTGCGAGACACATCTCTTCTCCTTGTCGTGGTTTAACCCCAGTTGGCACTAAAGTACCATGCAGCTGGTTGCTCACCCCCCTCCCTGCAGTGGGATGGAGAGGAGAATCAGGAAAAGGTAAAACCCGTTGAGGTAAGAACAGTTTAATAATTGAAATAAGGTGAAAATAATTGTAATGAAAAGGAAAAAATAAGAATAAAACCGAACAAACACAAGTGATGCACAGTACAATTGCTCACCACTCGCCCATCCTCAAGCAGCAATCCCTTCCTGTGAACTCCCACAGTTTATATACTGAGCATGATACTCTGTGATACGGAATGTCCCTTTGGATATTCAGGTCAGCTGTCCTGGCTGTGCTCCCTGCCATCTCCTCACTGGCAGGGCATGAGAGACATAAAAGTCTTTAATCAAGGCAAGCACTTCTTAACAACAGCTAAAACATCCATGTGTTATCAGCATTGTTCTCAGACTAAAGCCAAAACACAGCACTGTACCTGCTACTGGGGAGAAAGTTAATGATATCCCAGCCAAAACCAGGATGCTTCCATTACAGAAAGGTACCTGTAGAAAGATGCCTTCTTCATGCACTGTGCCCGGCCAACATTGGAGAGCAGCCTTGGGCAGCTCAGGGCAATGGGGTGACAAGGTGGAAGAGACAGCAGTTTTGATTAGAAGCTGGTACAGGTGATATGGCAAATAGCATTCCTCTGTTTTTCTGTGAAAGCTCTGAGAGGGGAGGAGAGCACATGGTTGTTGGAAGAGTTAAAACAATTAGCTGGCAACCTGCTAAGGCTGGTCATGGATTAGGAACCAGCAGCTAAACTCCAAAGCATATAACTGGAATTCCCTATAGTTAATGGTGCTCCATGCCCTGACCACCCCAGACACACCGTTACTTCTCTGCTTGCGAGTCGCCTTTGTAGGGCTGTCCTGACTGCTTGCAGGGTGGCTCTGTACAAGGTCCTGTTCCCAAGAGCACAAGGGGACACACAAGCAGCACTTGAGCCTGTTGCTCTGACAGGGTTTCAGACAGCTTCCCGTCTTCCCCAGCCCCCTGTCTCTGCAGAGGGACGCGCCATGGCTGTGCTCAGCCGATGTGGCAAAACAGCCTCTGCAGGATTAAAGCCGAGCTTTGTCAGGCCAAGTGATGACAAGCTGAAAAGAAAACGCAAGCAAGGAGTCATTAATTAAGGTGAGAAGCTGGGAGCGGAGACTGCCAGTATGTTAATTGGTCTGGAGAGGAGGTTGCGTGGAAAGCAACAATCAAGCTCTTTTCAGCTTTAATTAAACCTGTCTCTGTCGAGGACGTGGCACCTTCACCTCTGCTTTTGAGCTGAGAAACCGGTTACAGCTTGTGTGCTGTTACTGGGCAGACCGGAATTCCCTCCTGACTCTGGAGCCTCCACAACCCAGGCTCGCCATCTGCCCTTCCCACTCACATGCTCCCCAGAATTGGGGCTTAGCACCAACTAGAGGTTAGGGATGGGAGCCGGTGATGGCAGATGTTTGCTGTGCTTCTGGAAGACCTTCCCCCAGATATCTCTGTCCTGATTCATTAAGGTAGGCTTTGCCCCAGTGTGCAGCGGTCAGTCCCAACCTGATCTACTCTCTTTGCAAGCTGGGACCAGGAGGAGCAGGATTAGAAGGAGCAACAGCCTGGCTGCTTGTGGGCAAGAACAGGCAGTGTCTGGCTGTGCTGGTATCACTGCTCCTGACTGCTGTTCCCTTCCTTCTTCAATGCTTTGGTCTCTGAAGTGAGTCCTCATGCACAGACATGAGGGATATACATTTGTGTTACCCAGAGGCTGCTTGAGGCCATGAGAGCTGGCCACCAGCCACAGCTTTGCATGCAAAGGGTGGCTGCAGGACTACCCATTCCCAGAAAGATAGGCAAAGCATGCTGGACATGCTTCTGAAAGACAGTGGCCACAGGGGAGTGACAGCCAGCATGGAGGAAAGAAGCTGGAGACACCATAGAACTGGTTTGTCTTGGAATGGACCTTAAAGCTCATCCAGTTCCAACCCCCTGCCACGGACAGGGACACCTTCCATTGACCAGGTTGCTCCAAGCCCTGTCCAACCTGGCCTTGAACACTGCCAGGGATGGGGCAGCCACAGCTTCTCTGGGCAGCCTGTGCCAGGGCCTCACCACCCTCATAGTGAAGAGCTTCTTCCTAATGTCTAATCTAAATCTACCCTCAGAAACAAGGATAGGAGGCGAGGGAGTCACAGAATGCAGAGAGCAACATCGAACACTTGAATAGAAAAGAAAGATCATTCCCAGTGCAGCACTTTGGCTGGCCTCTGCATGGGAAAGGGGTGTCCTTATTGCTGAGCTCTAGCAAGGCGTGCAGCAGCTTCAGCAAAGATTAGAAATATCACGTCACCTGGGAATTTTAAGAGTGAGGAGGACAAAGCAATATGGGAAGATTACACAATCAGGAGCAGGGGACGGAAAGAGAAGAGAAATAAGGGGGCTTATGGCTCTGCTCATGCATATCACAGCTCTGCAAGCTCCTTACTGCCTGATGTTCAAGGCATTGTGGGTGCAAATCTGCCTCCGCATGAAGAGTTCACACTCAGGCCACACAGCACTAATTAAATGCCATATGTAATTAAGGAAAAAGAGGGCTTTTGCAGTCATGTAAAGTCTCCTGTAAATATTGAGGCGGGATGGTGGCAGGTCTAATGATTTGCAGCTGAGGCGTCTCAGAGCTGCTGCAGGATTGTGGAGGAGGTGGCTGAGGAGTTCTGTGGGGCTTGAGCTTGGTGTAATGGGTCTGTGTGAGTGAGCTCGTCCCTTTCACTGCCAACAGAAACCCATCTCAGTGGGGATGAGGTGTGAGCCTGATGATCCTGGCCTCTCCCATAAGAAAGCAAAGCCCCTGAGACATGGTCAGAAAGTGTGATACTAACAGATATCTCCCTCACCTCTCACCATGGATGGGCTCTCACCTTCCATGGGCTGTTCCCTTGGAACCAGGTCCAACGAAAGCAGTTCTTTTTGTCCCTGTCTCTCAGGTGATCTTTGTCCCCTTTCTAGGACTTCTTCCTGGTCTTGTCCTACATCATCAAAAAGCTCTCAGGCCACAGGACTGAGGCTCAAACAAGGCAAGGATCTGTTCTGCTTGCACCCGCAAGCCAAGTGGCATCACACCGCTTGCATCCCCATGGCGAAGCTGTCTCGTCCCACAGAGGTGGCTGCAGTGACCTGCGGCACATAGGCTTGGGACACTGGGGAAGCCGAGTATCCTACTTGGTTGCCCTCCCCTCACCACTCATGTCATGACAAAGTGACCAAATGGGAGCTGCATGAAGGCAGCCACATGCCTGGACCTCACCGTTGCAGCAGTGCAAATCCCACCGGCTCCCTTGCTACACTGATCAAAGGCCTTGCATGGGTGGTGCTTTTCTGGCTAATCTGGCAGCCTGATGATGGAGAGAAATGCTGGAGAAAGCTGTCCTGGGACTAGGGTCCACCACAGCCAAGTGATGCTCACCCCAGCTCTGGAGCAGAATGACAACAGGGGGTGAGGAGAAGGCTTTTGCCAAAACTCAGGTGCTCTGCCAGCACATTGCTTCCCACCTTCCTCACGCCCTTTTGTCCTCCCTTCTGCCCTCTGCTTCTAGCCCCTCACTTTGCCCTGCCTTCCCACTGCTGCTTTCTGTCCATCTGGATGGCTCTTCCCAGCCCCGCACATTTCTCATTTATGTTACCCCCACCCCATCATCTCACCATCCATCCTTTCCCCTCTTTCTGCTGTTGTCTTCCTCTCCTATGACTTTCTCTTGAACGCTGGCCTTTTCTTATGTTTTTGAGACATAGGTATTACACCCCTCAGCTTTTCCTCTTCTGTATACATCTGCAGTACCTGTGAAGTAAAACACAACAAATGCTGCCCTGCTACTAAGTTGGGACCACCAGACTGTGGTCAGACAGCTCACACAGCCTCCACCACCTAGAACCCAACCTGCAGTGCCCCGTGCCAGGCAGAGTTTGTATCCAGCATGCAGCAAATGTGGCAGGAGAAGGAAATTACCAGGGTTTATTAAGGTCAAGCAGGGGAGAAATTCCAGCACCTTCAGATAGAAAGGGGCACTAAGGAGACAAGAACTAAGTGCGCATGGGTGTTACGGGCCTGTTTCTTTCTCCTTTGCCTCACCGCTACTGTCCCCTGGCTCCAAGGCTCTCTGCAGCCTGGGCACTACCTTCTGCTTTGGTGACAGCCATTGTTTCTCTCACAGTCGTCATCATCACATGGAAAAAAGTTGTCTGGCCACACACATAGGGCTAACATCACTGAATAACCTCACTGCTCAGAGAGCAACAGGTCCTTCAGCCCCAGAAGGAAGGGATGAAGCTCCGAGTAGCAAGCAAAGATCAAAGCGGAGGCAGCAGTCCCTCAGGAACCTGCAAAAAGCAAACAGAAAGTAAGCAGAGGGGCGGATCAGATGGAGCAATGTAGGGAAAGGGGGAGTTACTTGGTTTGTTTAGGAAGGAAATACGTCTGAACTGCAAGTAGCACTGTGAACTGGGACAGTGTCCTGCAGGATTAGCTTGCAAGAGCTAAAACCATGTGGGACAGAGCTCTAGGAGACAGAAGCATCCTCCAGTGAGTATTTCTGGTGGGGCAGGGTGGAGAGAAGAGGCTGGACAGATGGTCTGCTCCTCCTTGAACTTCAGAGAAGCCACATGTGCAAAGGGGAGGCACACAGAGGTGTCAGCACAGAAGCCTTTCCATCCTTTACCAGCTGTGGCATAAAGCATTTGAGTATGACTAATGAGTGCTGCAGAGTTTGCATCACTGAGCTGTTGGCACAGATGGCTGACTTCCTTGTACATCAGCCAGTGTGGCAAAGGTCCTTTGATCTGGATACAGGGACTAGGGAATGGGATGGAGGTGGACGAGGGTTGCCCATGGGAAAAAAAGGATGTGTGCGCAGGGGACAGCGTGTCCCTGCTTGGGGCTGCCAGGATAGAGGATGGCAGCTACCCTAGTCACTCAGGTCCCCATGCACTGTCTCCATCCTTCCCACCCATGCTCTGATGTGCCTTTAACAGCCTGGATTTCCTAGCAGGATGTTTTCATTTTGGTTGCCTTCCTCTTAGAGTTCCAAGGTGCTGCACAAAATTAGCAAGTTAGGAAGTTGGGGAATGGAGGCCTTAAAACCTGTTGCAGACATGTCACCCAGGTGCCACATTAACATGTCCCTGCATTCTGCATCTGTACGTGTGGACTGTGCCATTCCTATGCACGGTGGGCCTGTGAGCAAAGGTGAGTAGGGATAACAGGTTAACCATTGCCACAGGATCTTTCGGTGGCTCTGCTGCATGCATTCCCCTCTGCCTGTTTGAGAATGGAGTGGCTACTCACTGGTTGGAAAACGGGTTTCTTCACTTTGCTCATCTGTAGTGAACAATCAGAAACTCCTGAGCTCCTCTTGGGGGTCACAGCTAGGGGATGGGCAGCTGTTGCCAAGCTTTCCTCCTCCAGTAGCTCTTTCTGAGCAGAGAACATACTATCTTGTAGCTGGTGAGTCCATGCTCTGGCATGACCGGCACCTTCAGGGTCCCTCTTCCTGGTGCTCTCCTCTGGGACCTGGGCCACTTCATTGTTGCCTCCATAGAAACCTCTGGTGCTGTTGGTGAAACCTTTGCCCACGTTGACCACATGGACTTTCTTTCCAAATCTCTTCTTCTTCTTCCTGGTCTTGTTCTGGAGGAAGAGGCAGGTGAAGACCTGCTTGAAACGCTTGCGGAAATGCTTGGAGATGAGGGCATAGACAATGGGGTTGAGGCAGGAGTTGGCATAGGAAAGGCAGTGGGAAGCCAGGCGGCAAACGTAAGTGGCTCGGTTGAAGGGGAAGTGGCCAAACCAGAAGCACAGGATGACCAGGTGGTGGGGCAGCCAGCAGAGGCAGAACAGGATGGCCACAGCCACAATCATCTTGGTGACCTTACGCTTGGCCTTCCGGGAATCCGAGATCCTTTCTATGGGATCTACAGAGGTCCACAGGAACTTGATGGTTCTGGCGTATGCCAGGCTCACAATGGTCACGGGCAGAAGGTATCCGAAGACAAACGTGAGGACGTCCAGAATCTTCCGGCGCTGGTCCTCCCAGATGGGGACACAGATGGGCACCCCATGGTAATGGACAATCTGGTAGTAACTGAGGTAAGGCCCCGCAAAGAACAGCGACAGTGACCAGATTGCTACAATGGCCACTCCTGCGTTTCGGGAGGTGCGGAGGTCCCGGGACTTCAGTGGATAGCGAATGGCCAGGTACCTGCCGAGGAGGGGAAGGAGAAGTGGCACAAACACAACAAGGGTGAGATGAGGTACCACTCCTGCCCTGTGGAGCTGTGCCTCTTTACCCATCTTCCCCTCTCCCTGCCTCTTGGTAGGTGAATAGAGGTCAGGGTCATCCCAGCAGCAGATCTGGGATCTCCATCACACGCTCTGCTGTGCTAGCCTGGGAAGGTCACACAGCGTGCCTCTTGAATCAGGGAAAAGAAGGATAGGAGCAGGACCCAGAGCCTCCCTGTTTCTCCTGTGGTGTGTTGCTGCCCTGGGGCTTTTGCTGTTTTGGTTTTACATAGCGGACACTAAACCTAAGTAGGTGCCTGTACTTCTTCCCAAGTGAGAGCTGGGTAACCAAGCCAAGAGGCTGGCTTGGTGCTGAGAGAGGACATGGGGAACCGGGGATGCTGGCTCTGCTGGCCCTGCCTCTTAGGGAGGCCCTATGTGCTTTTTACAGGACATTCAACAGGGTAAGGACTGGCCTTTCTCCCACCCTCTAGCTCAGGGGTAGCAAACGCATTGTCCCTGAGCTGCGGGATTCACAGGGAAAGGGACGCTTACCTGTCAATGGAGACAGCAGCCAGGGTGAAGCTGCTGGCGTACATGGTGAGGTAGATCAGGAAATGCACAGCCTTGCAGGCAAAGGCCCCAAAAAGCCACCCGTCCAGGGTGTAAATGGTGGCCTGGAAGGGCACGCAGCAGATGATGAAGCACAGGTCAGCCATGGCCAGGTTAAGAATGAAGAGGTTGGTGGTGTTAATGACTTGGCCGTTCCGCAGCAGCACGGCCAGCACCAGCCCATTCCCCACGGTACCCAGGAGGAAGATGAAGGAGAAGATGACGGGCACAATAATCCCGGCTGCTCGCAGCTCTGGACTGTTGGAAGAGGCGTTCCATCCCTCTGGCATCTGCCCATCTGACCTGTGCAAGGAGAAAGGGAGACACAGCACCTATACATGGCCATAAGCATGTAGGTGCTGGTCATTGCTGACCACAGTGGCCACCAGAGCTATGGCCCTAAGGAGCCTGATCCCAGCCTTTGTTTGAAGTCCACATTTCTCCCAGAGATACCAATCCCAATCCACTGGTTAAATTATGACATCAGGATCCTCATGATGTCTCCGGTAGGATGCTGTTGGGATCAGTCAGCCCATATCTGCCTGGCTTGAGTGGAGCTGAAGTCCCTTTCTCCTGCCCAGACATCATCACAGCATCTCCTTGCTCCCAGCCTCCTGAAGGACCCCCTGCTCTGCTGCCTGGCCTCCCCTATGTTTGTCTGTAATCCCAAAGCTGCTAAACATTTTTGGGATTGTTTGCTTTGGCAAATCTGAATCCCTCTGCTGTTCCACATGCCATGGGGAAGGAGGCTGCTGTGGGCAGTGAATGGTCTTGGCAGACTCACCCCAGGGCTGTGCCACCTCCAGCAGCAGGGACCTGATGCCTGTATGACACCCTGCAGCAGCAGCAGCACCCCATCACGCTCCCAACCCCAAAGAAGCTCCTTAAGCTGGGACCACCTCCACCCTGGAGCTGGCTGCTCCTTGTTCCCTGTGCAGTAGCTGTGCTCCACAGAGGAGAGGCAGATAAGGGCACCTTTTCCTGATACTGAGGGGTGGTCTCAGGTTGGATGGTGGCAGCTAGGAGAGGATAGAGTCGGGGAGAGGATAGAGTCGGGGAGAGGATAGAGTCGGGGAGGGAGACCCTGGAGCCACCTGAAACACAGTGCGATGATCATTGTGAAGGAACGACGATCAACTGCACCGATGAACAATTGCTGCAGCTCAAGATACTGTGGTTTGCTGCAAAACTTCCTCCAGCCCTAACACCGGGCTCAGGTGGAGAGCTCCAGCAGCCTATCTCCTAGCAAGCCATGTTGTGCTATCATTAGAACAAATTGTCCTTGGCTGAGCAGCAGCCAAGAGGGAACGACACCGTTATCTAGCACTGTTGACATGCAGTTGACTCTCTTTTGGACCACACAAGCTCCTTCACCCCATGCTCTCCCATCCCTCAGCTCCCACCATTTCTCCTTCCCAGCTACCTCTCTATCACAACGAAAAGATTGGCCCTACCTCTCTGGCTCTGCAGTCCCCTCTGTCCTACTCGTAACTATCTGTCTCCTCCAGCCAGCCCCGTGGTGTCTCCTTGCTCAAGCAGAGGACCCCGACCTCCCTCTGGGCACGCACCTTGCGTGGTGTCCCCGCTCAGGAAGCCCGAGGCCACCTCTCGTTTTGGGGAGCTGGCACTCACCTCTGAGAGGAAGGGCCTGCAGCTTCGCAGCTCGCTGGGGGAAGCTCCTGTCCAGCCCAGGCAGCGGCGGCGGGGCCGATGCAGAGTTTGCCCCGGCAGCGCCGTCTCCCTGCCTGCTACTGCGCTGCTTCCCCCTGCCCACCGCCGGCTCTGCTCTCTCTTCTCCCGGCTCCCGCACGCGTGTCTCTCCTGCTGGAGCTCCTTCCCTCTCTCTGTCTCCCCCCTTTCCCCCCCTCTGCTCTTGCTGCTGGTCCATTGATCTCTGTTGAGTGTTTTTTTCCTTCTCCCTGAGGTTGGGTTTGGAGTTAACTCCTCTCTGCCCAGCCTTCAGCAGGCTCAGCTGCTCCCTGCTCCACCGGGGAGGGGGCAGTGCAGGAAAAGCCTGGTGCTCTCTGGTGTGAGAGGCAGGATGGAGGGGAGCAGGGTCCCATGGGGCCCGGCAAGCCTTGCAGGCACCCTTCGGTGCTGGGTGTTCAGGACATGTTGCCCAGCACCCCTGGGAACATGAATATCACCTCGTCCTTGGGATACGGGTCCAAACCCTCTGGAACACAAGCATTAATTGCTATGACTAGCTGTTACTAATTAATTGTTAGTAGCACGGCACAGAAGAGACCAAGTTTTCCCACAATGCCTGACCTAGGGAAGGAGGGAAAGCAGGCTTTGGTTTCCATCCAGCCCAGCTCTGCCATCCACCAACAACACTGCCCAGACAGTGCAGTGTGGGGAGAGAGGACAAGCTCTCCAGGGGGGCCATCTCCAGAGGTTCGGCCCTACGACAGCACATGTGCTTGCTGATGTGCCAAGAGGCACAATGCCTCACCACCTCCTGTCCTACCATCGTGTCTATGGCCCCAATGGACCTGTGCCCTGCCAACTTCTAGGTGTGCTGAGGACAAGTGGGGCTTGGTGGTCCTTCTCCAGCAAGACCTGAAGGCCACCAGCTTCCCTTCACTGGGAAGTCTTTTCAAATGATGGAGCAGGATGCTGAGGAGGAACAGGAGGCACTGACCCCTTCCCCTCCACAGCAGCCCCATGTCCCTGTCGATGGCATCCCTCTGCTAGCAAGAGGGACAACGTGACCTCTCGTCCCCGCCTGCCACTCTGTCTGAAGGAGCAAGGTGTCCCTGCCGGCTCGCTATCAGCCACTGTAACCAGGGAAAAGGGGAAGGCCGTGTCTCAGGACACGCCAATAACCCAGGGGCTGCGGGGGAGCTCATCCTGCAGCACAGCCTGTCGCAGTGCCGCTCGCTATGGACGGAGCACACCAGCGCTGCCTCCTCCTCCTCCTGCTGCTCTGCTCGCTCCCACAGCCGAGCATCCCGGGCCCGCCGTCACCTCCGGATGAACCCCAGGAGCCGCCGCTGCCGCCGTCGGGCACCGCTGAGCCCAGTGCCGACATCCTGCGCGGCCGCCCCTCGGCCCCGGCGCGGCCATACAGCCTGTCGCTCTCACCTGAGGACTACCACTACTACCCCAAGCCACGGCACCTGCGGCCCGGGCAGCTGCGCCGGCTGCTGGGCTCAGCCTTCGACCCGTTCTGGATGGCCACCGCGGAGCCGCGCCGCCGCAACACCAGCAGCAGCGACACCCTGGAGACCCAGAGCCGGGACCTGGCGGACGGCGCCGGGCGCTACCGCCGCAAGCTGTGGCGAGAGGCTGAGGGGCTGGAGCTGCCCCCTGAGCTGCGGGGCGCCGTGTCCCGCAGCCTGCGGCAGTGGCTGGTGGAGCAGGCTGCCTGCCGCCTCACCTCCACATGGGTTGACCTGGGAGCTGTGTTCTGGCCGCGCTGGGTGCGCCACACTGCCTGCGAGACCGGGCCCCGCAGCTGCTCCTGGCCCCCCGGCATGGGCTGCCGGCCCGCACAGCTCACGCACATCAAGCTGCTGGCCTGGCACTGCTGGGCCGTGCAGCACCCCGGGCCCCCTCGCTGTGCGTGGCGGCAGATCCCATACCCGGTTGTGGCCGCCTGCAAGTGCTCCTGCCGCTGAGGGGGTGCAGGAGGGCACCTCTACCACCGATACCTGTTCTCGCAGCCAAACAGACGCCTGGACTCAGCCTCAGGGCCAGGGAGCTGGGACGCAGTCCCTGAAATGGAGAAATAAACCTCCGGAATGAAGTGGGATCAGCTGTGGTCATTGGTGTTTCTCGCCGAAGTCCTTGGGTAGGGGAACACAGCTGCTTTGCCCTCACCCACCAGCACAGGGAGGTATTAGCACTCGTGGGAATGGGGAATCGAGGCACCCGACAGCAGGTTCAGACCCTGTTTCCATCAGCCCCAGTGGACTTGGTCCATCAGGGAGCAAGGGCAGAGGGATGCCAGCAGGGAAAGGATAGAGGGAATTGAGTCACGGATCAGGGTGGAAACGGTGTGGATAGGGGCTGGAGGGCATCACTGGGAAGGGGAGCAGGTTCGGGGCTGCAGTGAGGCAGCCTGGTAAGGGTGGAGGAAGTGGGGGGTGGGCAGGGACCTACCGCTGGAAGTGGTTTTGGGGGGTGTGTATGGAAACCGGATGGGATAGACAGTGCCCTGCTTCGAGCTACAATGGGTGAGATACAGGGATCCCACACCTATCCCTGTACGTGGTGTAGAGGGCGATGGCTCAAGACCCAGGGGGAAGCCTGGCAGAGCAGTGTACAGGGTCTGGGGTGGGTTGGTGAGCCCCGTGTGGGAACTGCATCCTTGAAAAGTGGCATCTGCTTCTGCGTCCCACTCGGCAAAATGCCCTCTGCTTTCTGGGCTATGCTGCACAGAGCTGTACGTCAGTCCTTCGTTGGGAGGCCTGAAGAAATAAAGAGCTGGAGGCTTTGCCTGGGAATGTGCTATTAACATAGTGCCTGCAGTCAATGGGTGCTGCATTATTCGTTTCCCATGTGCCATCATCCAACCCTCCTGCCTTCCTGCATCCCTCTGTCATGCAAACCACAGTCTGCTGCAGAGCCTGGCCTTGAAGCGGGTGGAGAGGGAGATGGAGAATGGGGGGGGATCTGGGAGAGACAGAGAGGAGAGGGAGGCAGAGAGGAGGCGAGAAGCGCAGAGCCCTTGTGTGCACACAAGGACAAGTGTGTGTGTTGCAGTGAGGGAGGCTGCTGAGCTGAGCTGTGAGACATCTGTATGGCTGCTCTCCACTGAGGAGGACTTGAGTGCTGAAGCAGGGTTAAACGGCTTGGGTTGGCTGCCCTGAGCGCAGCAAAGACATCAGCAGGGTGACCAGCAGGAGGGAGAGAGATGGGAGCATGGAATGGGATTGCAAAGGGGGTGTGCAAGTAGGGGGGGAGCGAGATGGTGCACATGCATGGGCTCAAAACAGTGGTGGCTCAGGCTGGGCCCTGTCCCAGAGCCCATCTGGCTGAAGCAAGAGAGGCTTGAGCACAACCTCCTGCTGCTTCCCCATTATATTCCCCATTCCCAAGATACTGCCTGTTGATAAGGGGGTAGGGTTTGCAGCACTGGTGCTATACAGAGGGAGCTCCATATTGTACTTTATCAGCAGGCTGAGCTCAGGGTCCTGTGGAGATGGAAAATGAAATAAAACCAGCACACAGTTGTGCTACCAGCTGCTCTAACAGAGTCTGGTGGCAGCCCTATGGAAAAGGTAATTTCCCCCTGCCCTCTACATCCCATCAAGCCCTGCAATCCTGGATTAACATCTGTGTTCTTCGGCAGCTGCTTTGGTTCAGGTGAGACAAGTTACTGCCCTGTAGCTCGCTCCCTGAGTGCCTAAAGGCAGGTAGCATTTTCAGAGCAGGGCTTTGTTAACATGACCCAGTGCTTGGGCACCCAAGCACAGCACAACCTCATTGTGGCTGGAAGCTGTCCCTGGCTGCTGAGGAGGCAGCTGGTCCTCAGCTGAGCACGTGGGCAGACAGCAGGTCACACATGATTTCTCATCTGCAGCAAAACTGATGCAAACAAAGCAATCCTGAGAGATGCCCAGGTCCCACTTAGCTTGAGTGCTAAATTGCTACCCCAGCACAGCTTGCCGGAACAAATCCAGCAATCCCAGCCTGCAGCTGATGGAGGAAAATTACAGGTTTCTGGCACCTGTTCTTCCCTCAGCTTCAGCCCCAGGCAGACAGAGTCTCCCTCTCCATGCTGCTGGCCTCTACCATCTCAGCTTGCCTGCTGCCCAGCAGCCTCTCTGGGGCAAGATGCAGCACCCGGATCAGGTTTGGGAGCACTGTAGTGATGGGTAAAGCCTTAAAGCCAGCCCCAGGGAACTAAGCAAGCCTCACACCTAGCACCTAAGAGTGAGAGGGGGAGAAAGGAGCACCAGTTTCAGCTGGCCCATGTCCTGTCTCAGACCAGTTGCTGGTAGCACATCTTGCCAAAGACTTAGGAAACCCCTTGTCTCAGTGGGGAATTACAGCTGTCAGATCTACCAGGGTGATGCTACTGGACCTGCAGGAGAGCACAGAGGAAGCAGGTGACATCAGGCATAGCTACATTTCCATCAGCAGAAGACAGCATGAGCTGCAGTGCTTCAGCACCAGGACTGAGGCTTCCAGAAAGACACAGCAGAGTGTTCGGCCACAGCAAGGAGAAGATGGGGATGGACTGCAGCTCCTGGATGAGAAAACAAGAGCCAGACAAATATCCGCTGCACTGCACGACACCTTTAATGATGCAAGAGCTGGCTGCCAGAGCCGCACACTGCAACAGCCACAGCTTCCCGCGGGCTGTGATGCCCTGAGGATTGGTCCTGCTTTTGGCAGCATGCTCCTCAAGCCTTTTCCCCTGGCACAGGCACTTGGTCATGGGCAAGGACAGCACCGCAGCAGGTGTTCGCTGGCCCCTCAAGGTATCGCTCCATGTTTCCGTCCCACCTCGGTGAAGGCTTCCACACAGTGGTCGATATCCTCATCGCTGTGTACAGCCGAGATCTGGACTCGGATACGGGCCTTTCCCTTGGGGACCACAGGGTAGCTGAAGCCAATGACATAAATGCCTGAGGAGGAAATGCAGGGAGAGTTAGAGCTGGCTTGCAGGGAGTGAGGTTGAGGTGGTATTGGGTGATAGAAGGGCTTTTGGATCATCCCTCCCCCTTCAACCATTTTCAGGCTTCAGGGTTTTCAGGGGGCATCTGCTCCCAAGCATGGAAATGAGGCCTAGGGCCAGTGGTGGGGATGGAGTCCAGCCTAGCAGGACAAGAGGGCTAATGTAAACCTCCCACCTCCAACAGAAAGAGGAGGTGAAGTCAGCAACGTCTGGGAGAGACCAAGAGGATGTTTGCAGGTGGAGGCTAAAGAAATAACAGGTTTCATGCAGGAACATCCTCTGCAGGAGGGATGGTAGCACTACCCCCGGCTGTACTTTCCCTCCGGGCATGTGTCTGCATCTAGGGCTCCCTCTCTGGCTCACCTCTGTTCAGCATGTCCTCAGCCATCACTGCAGCCAGCCGTGCGTCCCCAAGCATGACAGGACAGATGGGGTGGTCTTTCCCTGAGATGGTGAAGCCAGCTGCTGTCATCTTACTTCTGAACCTGGTGAAGAGAACAAGAGGATGAGGTAAACCTCATCACCCCTGTCCCTGGGGGACCACTGCCTCGCCTTCCCCTGGTAGCCTGGGCCACCGAGGGCTGGATGTGGTGCTGCCCCAAAGTGCACCTCCTGTGCAGGGAAGGGATCCCTCTTTTTGGAGTGACCTCCAGCCACTTCCTGCTCAGCTCCATGGGACTGCAGCTGCTTGAGGGGCAGACTCATCCCAGCACACAGAGCATCCGGATCTGTCTGACACACACAGGCACATCTGTGGTTTCCCCGAGCACCCCCAGGCCATGACTGGCAAACCACCTATGGCTGTCACTGAGGGTGAATAAACACACATGCACAACACATTCCTAAGGAGCCCCTTCGCCTGCTCCCACCCCAGTGTGCTCCGCTCACCGTTGGGTCTTGGCAGCCATGGACTGTGCAATGGCATTGCTCTCCATGAGCAGGTCCAGGGCCTTGGATGCACAGCCCACCACGGCGGGGGGCAGGCTGTTGGAGAAGAGGTATGGGCGGGAACGTTGTCGGAGCAAATCAATGAGGGGTTTGGGGCCAGTTGTGTACCCGCCTGCAGATGGATGAAAGACAAATGGACAAGGAACACCAGAGTAACCTACAGGAGGAATTCCAGTACAAAGCAGGCCTAAAAGCATCACAGCTGGTGCCTTTTACTAAGAGTTTCCACCTTGACCCCAAATGCAAGTGCACAAGGAAGATGCAAGTAAAAGAAGTACATGGCAGGACCTCCCTTGACCCTGCGGCAGGGTCCCAAACTGGGCCTCATGCCACCAGTAGAAAAAGACAACATGCAGTTGTGGCTCTATCACTAGGCAGAGGAAGGAAACATCAGTGATGCTGTGGAGCTTGGAGCTCTTTAGGGCATGGAGAACCTTGGTCAGGAAATGCCTTCACCTGCAGCTCCTCCAAGAGCTTTTCCCAGGGTGGAATTGATGATGGTGACTTTGTCCATCACTCCCAGGAGCTCATCGGTACCCCTGTAGTAGAAGGAACATCACATTCTCAGCTGTGCCAGCACACACCAGGGAAGCTGTTCTACACCTGAGGGATGCCTCAAGGGAAACAAAGTGCCACCAGCCAGGTCTCTGCTAAAGGAGTAACACCCCCATGTGGTAGTTCAACCCAAGTGTTGACCTTCTCTTCTTCTGCAGAAAGGCTAAGCTAGAATCTCCCAAGATAAGAGCATGGGGTTTTCATCCCTTACAGATAGGAGAGCACTCAAACTTCCCCCACAGATGTTTAATAGTGCAAACAGAGCACTAGCAATGCAAGCTTGTGAAGCATCTCTTCTTGGCAAACACTTGCAGCCAAGTGCACTGCTTCACTGCTTGGCACTTGGAGGATCTCCAGGGGATGGAAGGAAAACTTGCCCTGAGGGAATTAATCTGTGCAAGCTAACTCCACAAAGCCCCCAAGCATTTGAAAGTGATATCTGAGAGGAGGATTTGGAAATCAGGAAGTCCAACTGTCTCCCATTTGGAAGCAGATGAGATGGTCACACCATCCCTTACACACTGATAAGCAACTGTCATGTTGGGATGGGTCATTGCTAAAGTATCTCCCTCCAGGTGCCCTG